AATAACTCTTATAGGCGATATATGCGTAGTTGCGTATGCAAATGCATTCGACAGCGTAGTAATTCGGTTGAATCATTTAGTCGGCACACGTGACAAAATATATGCAAACGTAATACTTATCTCTGCGGCAAGCCACCCAGGGTACAATATAAAGCTTACGGTTTATAAACAACATACGTACACAGACATAACTTGAACTTTAATCAGGTTACATTAGCCATAACGTTATAGGTGGGCGAAATGTTTCTTAAGGCTAATTACACTTATAACAATGCGTATTCTAGAGCATAGATTAGTAAATATTAGCTAAATCTAGATAAGGTCCAACAAAGGTGAATTGGACTATTGTGATCAAGCTCCTAATTAGCGATACATATCTTCAGAACAGTCTATAGCATGAACACGACGATCAGTCCTTTGGTCAAGTTACATTAACGATTAGGTATTTGAAATGTTTACATTACCAATCGCTCGAAATATTGCCAATCTCTGTAGCCATCCGAACAGTTTCTCTTTGCTGTCAAAGCGACGCCTTCAACACGAAGTGAGGAAAGGACTTATCGTTTATGTAAAATGAAAATAGAAGCTAACGGTAGAAAATCCTGCCTTTAAACGATACATTTTTATCCATTTCTTTGGTAACTGTAGCTTTTACCTCGTGAAATTATGTGCTATTCCTTTGCAAAATCCCAGTTTTGTTGAGCCTGTAGTCTGAACAGTACGGCCCTATGTAATAAGGGCACATTCCACGGATTTCGCCCGCGTTGCTGGCTGCCGGGTGTAATTAAAATGAGTTCGCTTTATGCTTGTCCCTCGGCAAGTGTGTAATGGAACCGCGTTTATTACGGGACTCGTCGAGCTCTGATTTTTGCACAACGGAGTAAAGGAACTCACATTTCCTAGTGTTCACTGTAATTTTATTCTGAATACTATGTTTAAAAATGCCTACATTTATGTAGTTATTAAACATTAATTAAGTTTTTAATGGATTGGATGGATCTACGTAGCGTTAATTTACACACCCTCCAATGTTTTTCATATTAGGTCTACGAATTCTAATAATCCATTTCTCGTATAAGGCGAAAGGTAAATAAATCTCCTTCGAATTCATAGCAACAGCAGCAGCTGGCGACTAATCCAATATTGTGTGAGCGGAGACAAGTTCTTTGTCGCAGTAGAATGGGCATTTGAACATTTACGAGCCACTCCGACCTGGGGGCTTACTCTTGAATCCAATTCCGATCGATCGACATTGGTATTGTGAAATTTCGTACTCTTGAGTTGCAATACTAGAGCCCATTGCATCCGTATTGCGTAGATATTGAATGAACTAAATGGTATTGAGTTTGTCTTTATATTCCGTACTCTGAATGCTATTGTAACAGCTAAGATTGTGGTTGTATAGTGTTGACATTTAATAATTATTGAGATCATATTGGATTGAAATTGCATTGACATTGAGATTGGTTTCAAGAGTAAGCGCCCTGAGCCGTTAGACCTCACACATTCGCCTTCCATCTTCTGGTCACCGTTTATGAAACCCTATTGTCTAGCCCTATTGTTTTCTTCCACAGAAACATGAATTACTGTATGCGTACAACATGTTTTATTACCAGCCCTGCCTGCTATATTAATTTGTCTTGCATCTTCTTGAGTTATGACGGTTACAGGTGTGAGGTGTATATAAATTCTTGCAATTAAAACATGATCGAGTGATATCTTTATCCATTGTGGTGACAGGAATGATAAATAAATAGTTATAATAAAGCTTTTATACGAGGTTTATGGATACGCGTGGCGTTTCGTCATAATTCATTAGTGCATAAACCCACACACTCGATAACATCATGAGATCGATTGCGTGGAGATCTCGCGATAGCTGATCGAGCGATACCGAATACACGGCCCTGCTAAATAATAACTATAGACGGTGTTTTGAAACATTAATTGTGTTGGTATCACGGTAATTATTTCAAATATTATATTTATTAATGTAAAGTAACAATATTCACGTGATTTTTAAGTCTCCTGTGGTTTCAAAGTAAGTAGGTATACGTAAACCGTTGTGCGATCAATCAAAGTAACTGCTATCAAGATCTGAACGCGGTCAGTTGTTGGATGCTTATCAGTTTAACAGACAGTCCCTCGAATTGGTTTTTAAAAGTTATTGAGAGGTTTTTGGTTGGAATTAGGAGATTTTTGTGAACATTATTTAATCGGCAATTTACGCGTGAGCCTTGTTTCGTATGTCAATTAGGTAATTAAATTGACATTGAAAACGCTATGCCTAGCTCCCGATTCATTGTAGAGGTAATCTCATGTTTTATAAATTGTTAGCTGTTATCTGCGACTTCGTCCGCGTAAAATAATGACTTCTGATAGAAATTAGACGTACGATAGGATTGCTTCCGCACGCATTGGAATACGATTTCGTAACAAAAAATATAGAAGTACCAACTGATGCTTTTTTACAAACGTGACGGATTCGCGAATGAAATGTTCTCCAGGCTCTCAGTAGAGACACGAGGACTTAAATTAACTTCACGAACTATTCTAAAATGGTATTCTAATGCCGTTTCGAGAATTGCGCCGGTATTCCGGGAAGGTCCTAATACCGGCCCTTTTATGCGATGCCCTTAACTTTTCAAATGGGTTAGCATAATTTATTCCCTGCATCTCTCACTGTTTAATAGGACACCAGGTTTTTGTGGAGGTTTTTTTTTCGTCCAACCGTCCGTCTGTTGAACGAACGACGGTCAAGTTTTTCTTATTTCACAATTTCGAATGATAAGTTCTTTTGATTCGTTTTTTGTAACGTTGTTCGCGAGTTTTCAATCGTTTTTTGTTAATTGAACCTTGTGGAGTTTATTAGCGTTGTTTGGAAAAGGGGAAGAGAGCGATGTTTTGTAGCGGGATGCGATTTGCTGGATCGTTAGCTGGAACTGAGCAGAACATTTGAATGAACAATTTTATTTGTTTATTGACAACTGACATAATTATGATAAATGTAAGGACTGTTGTCCATATTTTCTATAATATTCATTCATTTTGGGCACGTAACATTATTCTCAGAATCGCATTATTAGTAGACTAACGGTATGATCAATAGCTATTCCTAGTATTCCTATAAATCTTATGAATAAGACGTTCCATAATACGAGATTATGCATTTAGTGAATTAATATTGCAATGTTTTATGTAAGGTGTCTCAGTAATGTGTCATGTCAACAGCGACGCATGTAATCAGTATGTTCCATAATTTGGTGTGAGTTTATGTGTTCGTGACACGCCGAGCTGTGGGCGGCTCGGAAAACTGCCACAATACATCTTAGAAATACCCACTTAATATGATAATTAGTGGAAACGTTTTACAACAACATAATAGTTATATTTCATACAAACACCGTTACTTACGTTCCCATAATAATCACTGTTTGATTGCATGGAGTATTCAATAAGTGGAGCGCTCGTGTTCATGGATGGACACGCTTCGATTTGTCCACACTGAAAGTTTGAAATCAGTACCGCCTGCCCCGCCTGGGATCTTTTGTTGCGACTTATTTTAAGAGATTCGCTCTCCTTTTAAGGTACACCAACTTTTTAAAGATTTTTATCCCCTTTTTTGTAGTTTGATACACGAAAACCAAAATCACGTTCACGATGTTCATCTCAAAATGATTCCATTATTTCGTTGTTACTCCAGTTACTTTGTAATCTATTTCTTACATAGTTTTGTTCCGCTAGGCGAGTCTCTCCTTATTAAATGATAATTTAATTGCATTCAAACTACTCACAATGTACTTTGTTTTGAAGAGGAATTTAAGAGAAACACCTCTTATTATCGCTTAACGAGCGGCCGTGGAAAATTGAGCGGAAAATGCAAAATTGCTGTTTACCCACTTTGATAGAAAATTGGCTAAAACATACTTTGTGGTGCTAATGAAGATAGATATTTCATAGAAATTCTTTGCAAGCTGGAAGTATGTTCCAAAATATTAACCGAACGTTTTATATCAAAAATATTTGTTTGCTTCTTATTTTGCTAAAAGACTTTATTATTATGTTATCTACTATAAAATTTACTGTTGATTTCTTATAGCTTTTGCAACAAAGCTCTAAACGTAACTTAAAAGCCTATTGAACTGCTTACTCTCCCTCAAAACAAATGCCTCGAAACAAAATTTTTATTTTTCTGTATGACTAAAAAACTGAAGCAAACCATACTTCAATCAATGTCCCACTCACGTCCGACTCAATCGCCGATATTGTCCGAAATCTGTGACGTCAAAGTGATTGCCCAACCTACCTCTTTTTAATTGCTGTTGCTCTGGTGCATCGGTTTCTAGTCATTATGGCGATCACCTACACTTTGTTTGAATTTGTATCACTTTTCTGTTGTAAAAAAACATTTAATTTAACGTAGCGTCAGATCCATTCTATTCTTTCAGATTTGAAAGTGAACGAAGTTTCAGTAGACTAGGGCGACAGACTTAAAAAGAGCTAGTATTATTAAAGTGTTTTGTTTCCGTATAGTGTTTGTTGGCGACGACCGACGATGACGCACCGCTAAATTAGACAAACCTATTTAGTTTGTTTACAATATTGAAATAAGTAGCGGAGACTTTATAAATAGTAAAATAATAAAACTTATGTAGATATTTATTGTTATGTTAAGTATTATTTTTCTCTTATCTAGTTACTATTAATTAATAAACAAATATGTTAAAATAGGTGACTAATTAATACAAATAGGTATTAGTTATAAATCAATACTTAAGTTCTTAACTAAACAACAGCAACTTAACAAAATATCAATTTTGTAATTAAATTATATTCATGGGATTTTACCTCTACAAAATAAAATATTGGCGAAACTGTGTATGGTTTTAATAGCATTTTTTGTACGTTTATATTGTTTTACAGGTAAATAATAAATTTAACGGCCGTAGTAATAACGTGGCGATGTTCACAGGTGGTGAGGTGGTTCAACACGAGAGGCGATGCTGGGCGGGGCGGCGGGGGGCGCCCGCTCCCGCCCGCCCACTGATCTCCAACAAGGTATGGAAGCCTAGTACTCGTAACACTGAAACTAAAAGTAATTTTTTACGCTTTGTTTTTCACTACTTCTTGTAAACGTAGAATCGGCGTATTTTTGTTTTCATCAAAGTAATCATAAACATTCTTTATACATTTTCATAAATAGGCTTTATAATAATCTTAATATACCATTCGTTTTATGGTGCAAGATTTCTAATTATTATCACTGAAAATAAACTACACAAACACAACACCCTTCCTAGTCAACCATTCTGTTTTATTTTAATTAGCGTCTTAAATTACATAAAACGGTTTTTAATTATTGTGAACAGTGAAACAAAACGATATTTTTCCACAGGTGTGGCTCGGTTCCCGTTGTACTCCCTGTTCCCGACGCAGACCGGTAACCGACCCACGATACACAAAGGTGGGTTATTTGTTATTTGTAACTATTACAAACTTGGTTCTACCCGTACCCGTAGGACATTGACTTTTGGTCTGAATAAGCCTTTTGTTTTTATTTTATAGCCTCGTCGGCGACATATTAATACTCTAGTTGCTAGGGCAACAATATAGTAGTTAGATGGCATATCAAAAAAGTTTAGATAGAGATTATATTCAAAATTGCATATACATATGTCAAAATGCATCACATAGGTAGGTACAATCCTTAACAACAACAAACAAAACAAAGAATGTATGAGTTAATGTTGTTCTTGTAACCGGGTTACACATCGCGTGATGGCTGCATGTGCCCCGGGCGACAGGCGTGAGGATATGTCTGACGTGACGTTTCTGACAGCCGGCTCACCGGTGGTTCAACCGGCGATATAACTATGTTTCGAGTAATCTCTCCTGGGGGCAGAGATCGTTTTGGGATCAGGGCTGCATAACATTCTTGGAGAATTATCATTTCGAATGTATTGTGAGTGATGCCTGTATCTGATGCAAATGTGACAATGTGAAATGATCTGGGGTGAACCACTGCTAACATTATGAAATTAGTTAATCCTTAGTTCACCTTTAATGTCACATTCACATTAAAACCGAGAGTTCATTCAGGGGTCTAACTAAATTTAAATAAAGCCCGAGTGTCCGTACGTAGGTCATTTGACTGGTTTTTCAACTTAATGCTTGTAAATAAGTAAATAAGCTGTGTTGATCAAGTGACGCCCGGCCACAACTTTGTCCGCGCCGCAGATGTTATGTCATCAGAACTGGCCGACTAACTAAATATTCATATCCACTTCAGACATATTGTTTGGTTACCTTAATTGTCAGTTTGCTTTTCATTTTCAACTGGATTCAGGCGCCTTTCAGATGGAATACGACTTTTTTGGGACTAAAAACAAACAATCCCACAGTATTATTTATGGGACAGTGAAGTCATCTGGATGGTAACGCCTTTTTAATAGAAAGAAAAAGACCTTTTTGAGAACTCTTCTAGTGTTCTGCCTCTTTCGAGCTGATCCTTAGGAACAATTTTCGGTGCACATATTAATAATCCAATAAACACTAGTTATGGTTATGAAGTCCTGGTTACTAATGAGCTACGTTGAGATAAAGAAGAACCCTCTTTGCTGAACCTAGGGTCTGTTTAGACAACTTGGTTTATTTGCATTCTTCCCGTGATATTCTGGGTACATTTAAGAAGTTCTGAAGTTTATATTTGGTTTGACATGCGTAGTAAATGACGGCGTTGCTTTGTGGTTCCGAATTAAAGCGATTAGTTACGCCGCACCGGCGCGAGTGACACCCGTGTAATGTGGAACAACGTACAACTGATTTACTTACAAACAAAAATTACTTGTTTATTACAAAAAAAGGAATAACTTAATATTGATCCTTTTATCTCCCAAAAGCAAAGGTGTACTTTACGAGTTACAGGCTAACCTACTTTAAACTAGGTACTTATATACGACTAACGATATGAGAATATTAGAGAATAGGAAAACAGAAGAGAAATGGAGATAATTCAAAAAGTTTAAAAACCTAAAACTACGAACTACTGGTAAAGACCAACCGTCCTAAACTAGCGTCACGGTAAATTGCAAAGAAGTCATTGTATAACTTTGTTAGCTTAATAGTGTTTGTTATTGTTATTGGGTGATCCTACTGGAGATTCTGTTCCACGTTATCCTCTATCTAAAACCAACTTTCAATCGATAATAAACAAAACTCCAATGATTATACAATTTATTCTCACCAAATATGATCTCACAGATGAAATGAATAAGATCGCACAGCTCAAGTATGGCACCGTTGATAATCACACACATGTGCGCGGGAGTCGGCTGTCGAGTGACATTAGTAATTAAGGTCTTAGATCCCTTGGGCCAGACAGAAATAGACTCTTTGTTCGCTAATGCGCAAAGAGTTCATGTTTAGTTTATTTTGTTAGCCGTTTGGTGCCAGTTTTAGCTCGTATTTTTAAAACTTATTTGCCTCGACGCGACACGTATAGGGAAAAATTATGAATGGCATTTTTTCCTGTGCCTTACCTAAGTACGTTGGTATGAAATCTGAGTCAGATGTCGGTTAGTAAAGTAAGTTAACTCGAGTTATTTTATTAGATCTTATTTTGAAGTCTATCAAGTTCATAGACGAATGAATTCATAGGTATGCTTGTGGTATTAATTAGTTTCTAGTAACTACTTAGTACCCGATACTTCAGTTATGTTATGTTGGTATTATTGTGTATTATCCTGAGAATTTCACTATACTTTTTTCAAATCCGATACCTCATTTTTCAATGGTAGTTACAATTAACGAAGTTATTTCTTTCAAACTGCTTCAGGTTACGTGTTTAGCATCTAACTTCTACCTACTTATACACAAAAATATTTAATAATACCTACATGTCGTTGGTATTCTTTCAATAGCACACGTAACGTAAACACAAGCGTCTAGACTCGTGAAGCGGCTAGAGCGAGACAGAAATACATGTTAGTGCTTAGACGAGAGACCTAACTACTAGGATAGCAGTAATATTTTAGACACTAAAATAACCAAGCCGTACTAAGGTCACATAACTCAAAAGATTAATGAATCCAGTTGTTCCAGTGACGGAGAGTTTGTTTTCGACATCGTTGTCGACATTCGGCGTGCCAACGCCGCCGCCGAATTCCCCCTACTCGCCGCTGCAGCTGGAATTACTCAACTGCTCGCAGCGGGTACTTCTCACTGACAAGTAAGTTTTATGATAAACGTACTCACGTGTAATTTAAGGACTTGGCCATCCAAAATGACGCTCGGAGTAAGTACAGTGTGTAAAGTTAAAAATCAGCAGAATCAGTTTATGTGTTGTATTGTATTCAATGTACTTTTAGTTTGCTTGTTTTGTTAACGACGACTATTTTTCAGTCAATTTTATTTTAAAGTTATACCTACATCTTGCACACACTCGAATAATATAATTAGGCAATTGAAATAAAGATTTCGATAAGACTGACTACTCAATGTACTTAGATAGATATTTTAGTTGTAGTTTTGGGTGACTGCAAACTAAACAACTCGCAACTAGTTAGAACTAGTGTCATATTATGAATACTAGGCGGCACTGACACTATCTAGGACTAAGGTGAGCTGCGGGGAAGTACCCTAATTACGCAATTTATTTTCTTACGGACAGGGACCACACTAAAATGGAAGAAGCTAAACTGGGCAAAGCCTGTCTTCCTGATTCTTTATGTTGTCCTGGTGATCAGCGGCAGATGCTGGACGGTATCGGCGTCATGCAACCGCTTACTATCAAGACCGAACAGGCAAAACGGTCATGCAACACTTGCCTCACAAATTCTCCAAAAAAGGTAGTGAAAATAATAGTGTTATTTATTTACTTGCAAGGGAATTAATGCTTACCTACATTTAAATTGGTCATGCATGTATGAGCTTACGAGGCAAAATAATTTAGAACAAAAATTATTTATTTGTTTTTCATTTAATGTATGGGAAATAGTCGTATTTTTTAATGTGTTGTTGAGCTTTTTATTGGTGTTTGTGATATAATTTAATGACGTACTTATTATATCTAACAAAATAGTTCATTTTTATTATTCTTATAAAAAATAAATTCCGCAGGTCATGCACACGGACAGTGGCTGTAGTAGAACAAATCCCGTAACCTGGCTTGGGGTTGCGGGACAAAATCTACAAGTCCAGGTGAAGCGGGAACCTCAACACGTCCAAGTTTCAGAACTGGTTGCCGTCAAGCTTGAACAAGCGTCGCCTGGTAACAAGCCAGACCCACCACCAGCGATACCGGCATCGCTAAACAACGGTAAGCTTCTACGTCTACGTTGTTATGCTTGCCTAGTACATTCGTACAATATTTACGCGAGATGGCGATGAAGAATTTTTCCTTTCTTTCTGAATAAAGTTGTTTATTTTTTTTATTTAAAAATGTAACGTGCTTCTTTATTATTCTTCTTAATATATTTTTAAAGTAGCTGTAAGATTGAAATTGACAAAAATATTTTAAACGTGATATTGGTAATAAATATCTTCATGTAACATGACATACATTTTTTGCACAGGATCTATTCCTGTCGGTATCGCGGTCGCTCGACAACGAGTAGGCGATGCTGGGCTCCTCGCAGCATTGTCTCAAAAAGACAACCAACAACGCATGCACGATATCGGTAAGTTATTTTGTGTGTAGACTAAGATAAAAACTTTCAAGTTTGCAGACACAGATTGCTATTTCCTTATCACTCGACGAATATACAACACGTGTATTGTGCTTGTGTGTGTAGGTAGTTTACATGTGACACTGTAATCTTCAATTGTCATTCATTCGTTGAGAATATCGATACGCGCTCGCCACAACCTCTTTGCTGTCTCTGTTAGCCTGGTACCACTATGTATTTACTAAGATGCGCTTGGTAATGAAAAAAAAGTATGGAACTTTTTTGAAGGCCTATTGAAGATTTTTTAAATGGCATGTATTCAATAAGTTTGATTACTTGTTGGTTGGATTCTCTAAGCTCTAGGTAGTCTAGTTGCTTACCTACAGATATTTTGAAAACATTTTAACTTACTATACAGGCGGTTCCATTTTTAAGTTAACAAACGCTTCTATGTCTATTTTTAAGTATTGTTAAAAATGTATCCTGAACTTCAAATAAAAATCGACATTGATCGTTCCGCTGATACAAATAAAGCAAAAATCGAATATTCAGACTAGTAAGTCAAATGTCTAGTTTAATTGATTGCGCGTTTCAAATGAAATTGCGCTTTTATCGCGGCATCGCGCCGAATCGCTTCGATCACGCGAGCAGTTTTTGATACTGCCTTGAAATATAGCTTACATTCAATGAATAAATAACAAGAGACGATGTGCCTAATGTATACATATTGTACATGTATACCAACATCATTTATGTGCAAGTATAAATAATAAGGCGCTACGTTTCTTCTAGCAAAATAGTTTTCACTGAAGTAGGCAAAAACTAGAAGTAGGTAATTTAAAATACAACTTACGTAAGCTTTCTATTACCTTTGTAAGAAGGTACTTACTTTACTATCGCTTTGTTTATAAGAGTATATATATCGTTATTATTATTTGAATTTTAACTCATCAAAGAACAAGCGATGGTCAAATGTCAAATAAAATAAATCTTTCACTCGAGGATCTCAATTTAAATTCTAAATTTACAATAATAGCATGCTACTGTTTTGAATGGCGCCAGTAGGCATCGACATCTCTCAGGCATTATCATTTTTATCGAATGTGTTAAATCGTGACGCATTTGGGAATTTGGTATAGCCATAATTTGAAATGAGCTTCTGTTTTGCTACTTTAGTGGATCGCGTGTTTGACGTAGCGCTGATTAACGAGTGTTAAAAGACTGTCACTTTATTGCTACAAATTTTGATACAAATGCTTGATACTGCTTGAGATTTGCATTTCTTCGATAAAATTTCGTCTTTGGTTGATTCGTGATTGAACAATAGTTCATTAAGATTTAAGAAGGAGTAGTTTTAACAGTGGTTGGCATTGAGAATACTGTTTCTGAAAGTATTGTATACACACTTAAGCTTAGTTAATCCACTCTAGGCACACACTACCACTACTCGTTCTTGAAAAGGCTATAGGTACACAAAAAGTCACAAATTGTTATGCCCTTGTACTCGACAATTTCTAAACATGTTTTCGGTTGTAAAGTCTTATGTAACCAACAATTACTATAAAACAACGCACGCAGTATAACCCTGTCAAGACATGCTCATGAAATGCAAATGAATTTCAGTAAGACTTTCTGTGTTCATCATAACGGGCTATATATTCCATGTTTATGGTAAAAAAGTTGAAGCACTTAGTTTGTTCGACCATCTTGAACGTACTAAATATGCACCCAAGTTGGTATTACTCCATATTAGTTAGAATACCTATAGCTTGACATTATGTATGTAATTATATGTATGTGCGTATCGGCCTTTGTAAAGAGATTTATGGCATAAAAGCGCGTCTGTATCCGACAATTATATGCTAATCAGATATTACAGGATCGTCGGTTACGTAGGCAACATTTGAGCGCTATGTTGCAAGTGACCACGAGTTATTCTTTGAGTCTTTAGGAATACTTAGTTTAGCAACAGTAATTTGTGAACAAAAACGAGAAAAAGTATTACATATATTAAATATATTATTATAATATACTCGTATAATAAAATTTACAAACCTTTTCATTGTTAGTTAGGTTTAAATTCTTATGCTTAGACAACTTATGTAACCAGCAAAATGTTTTACATTCTAATTAACCGCTTAAAATACAAATAGCTCATTAAAATATCAATTAACTCGACATGCAGGTGATTTTAAAATAATAACACTGAGACGGATACTCTTTGGGTTGTACATTGCAAATAATTTTTATGAATATGTAAATAGCCCTTATATTGTAAATAGCTGACCATAGTTGGTCGTGGCAGTCATGATCGGAATAAATTAATAATATTTTACACGCAGTAAACTTTATTGCGAATTGTAATAGAATCTAATATGCTGATTGAATAACTTCATTATTACGAGTGAATTGTTCTGGTATTAATGATAACTGCAGTTTATACTGGTGTGGAGGCATCAGAGCTTGTCGTAAACAGGAGTAAACGATTTTCAAGGAAAACAACATGAAGTGATAATTATGATAAGTATCTATTGTAGGTATTCGTTACTTAAGTACGATATGTGTAACAAAAACATTACTTATTATTTTCAATTACATCATAAACACTATTACCTGACAAACCAAGTAGTTTTGTTGCATTTTACGACACGTTCCGTAAAATAAAAAAAAAAAAACTTATGCAAAATAATATGATAAAATCTTAACAATATTTGCTTTTACAGTATTTTACAACCGAGTACAAAATAAAATAGCAATTACTGTAAAATATCGTATAAGTAATAAAGGTAACAAATATTCCATTGCATGACCAAATCGATACGAAGGGTTGAACAGTGAATAAATGTAGTAATGCCAACACCTGCCGCCGACGTGAATGCTTAAATTATTGACGACGTAAACGACATTTGTTAATTCAATGACTAAATTACGTTCAACTTTATTACTATTTTGGCCTGAAACTGCCTACATGAACCCATAACTATATTTTTTATAAATATACAGTCGTTTTTATTTCTTAATACACTTTATTTCAAACGTTTTTCTATATTTCTGCAATTGCTGTAGAGGTCCTATAATAAAATAATTCCATATAAGAAATATGGAGTTATTTTATGGTGGTTTTTATAAATAATGCCACCAGGTAGGTATCTATCTACCACTACTACCAGTTGAATAAAGTATAAAGAAAAACAAAATAACAGCAGTAACTCATTAGTCACTTATTTCAGTGCCATTTATGTATGTTTCAAAAGCATGTTTTGTAAAAAAATAACTATTTCAGAAACAAATTGGTTATTATTATTGAAAGTACATATTTAAACTGAATATTCGTCATATTTTATCCTATGCATGGCGATGGCCATAGGAAACTAAATTTTAATTGGCCCTTTACGTTTTATTTTAATAGGTACTCTATTTAGCGTTACCAATATTAAGGACTAGTTAAAATTATACGCATAAAAATGTTATTATCTAATATCTATGTATGTAAGTACTTCAAACATCACCGTAACGTCTTTTTATGTGGTTTTCGTAAACTCGTAAAATTTTCTTTAAACTGTACAATACACATAAATTAATTTAATCAAATTAAAATAACATTGATAATTACAATTAAGTACGATATAAAATTTTATGAAACAACATACATACATACACGGACCTCGCTCCCGTTCTACAAAGATAATATCGCGAAAACGAACGGATATTATCACGTTCAAAATTATTTACACTGCAAAAACGCACCGGCTCCAACCAATTACATGCTAATCACTGTTTTATAATTATTGTTACAATGCTCGTAGTGGCTTTTGTATTGCTAATTTGTATGAATGAAATAAAAAATATTAATTTTATGTTTTTTGTATTCTGTAGCACGCTGTATATGCGTGGGGCGTTGTTTAATTTGTGCAAATTTTTCTAATGATGATTTTGTATAACTGTTTACACTTATATTTATGCTACGTATATTTTTGTAATATCCGCTGTAGGATTATACTTTGTCAGGTATTTTTCATGACGTAATTATTTGAAATTATTTAGTCCATATAAATTGGACTTTTTGTGAAAGCAGACTGGCTTCCACAATTAATGCTTATATTACAAAGAAGATTTTTTAGGGCAAAGTGAGATAGCTCGTTTGTAGTCAACATAATTAATTTGCAACAAAACAATACGTTTTGTGCTAATAACTTATTTCATTTTTTCATACATATTCCACAACACCAGAGAAGTGCAAACGGCACTACAAAGTTTACTTTCAAGTACCAGGGCGCTATAAACTGAAAGAGTAGGTACACATTTTTAGTTCTACTTAATTTATCATTTTTGTTATCAATCGCGCAGATCAATATTTTGAATACCTACTTCACACACGTAATCAACCACGACATGGTTATCATGAATTTACATTTTTAATTTTAAAAAAAGTTTCGTAAAGTCTAGTTCGTATAAGACAAGAAAACTGCTGAATACCTAGAGTATGCGCTATTATTTATTGGGATTCAATATTTCATTAAAAAAAAATGGTAATGAATTCTATTAAGTTATTCGTTACAATTTCATTATTTTTAAATGTAGGATAATATAAATAAATAATAAATAATAAATAAAAAAGTTTATTTCAATTACAAAAGGCATTACAAAAAAATTGATCACCTTTTAAGCAATGGATTGCTTGTGTTAGGAGACTCCGCACTTCCACATGACATTCTAAGTAATTGAAGTTACAATGTAGATAATGTAAACATGCAAGATTAACAATAAAACAAGAAGAAAATAAATCAAGTTAAACTTACAATTCTAATCGCCGAGACAATGAATGAGTATAATTATTTGAAATGAATAACAGTTATTGTGAAAATACCAGATCAGAATATAAATTATTTATCTTAGGTACTCATATTACTTACACAAGGATTTGGGTTTTTCACCAACTCGACACGAGGAACTGATCACACGTGTGTCCAGTTGGTGAAACTTTAAATTAGCACTAATTATTCTTTCGTCAT